ATTGGTTATATCTGAAAAACTAAGATTAGATACCTTGATCACCAAATTGACTTCTGATCAATTATTCTAAGAATTAAAAATTGTAATTGTATGATCAATATATCTTCAGATGTTTCAAATACATATTCAAATATTTTGCTATATATCTAAATCTTTAACTATATCCTACTAGATATAGATATTTAGTGATATATGTGGATATTGATATAGATGTGTTTTTGCACCTCCATCTAGGGTTGGGCGTGGGTCGGGCCAGTTTAGGCCCGTGACATGGTCTTCCAGTTTTAAGCATGGGCCAGGTCTAACCCGGGCCCACACAGGCCAAAGTAGGCCATACCACTTCTCTAATGCATGGTTTAGGGCTAGACCCAGCCCGACCGACAACCCACCTAGGAGCGGGTCGGGTCGGGCCCATAGCCCATGGATTGTGGGTCGGCCCATGAATTTTTTGACCTTTTTCTATTTTTTCATTTCTAAACTATATCAACTTTGTATTTAGTTAAATTATATTTAATTTACTTTTTCCTATTTCAAATTATTTATTTAAAACTGTGTGTATAAATATAAACATCACAAACACAAAGATATGCGCAATTCAGACTTCTGAAGGAATACCTGATTGCTTGAGGTCCGTTTATTTCTTGCTAAACAAAGTAAATATTTAAAATTAAACTTGGGTCGACGCGAGTTGACAGGGCCGGGCTAACCCTATCCCTGGCTATAAACCTCCACAAATGTGGGTCGGGTTGGACCTGACATGATGGGGGCTGGGCTATTTCGACCTGTGTTTCGAACCGGCCCATGCCCAACCCTACCCCCATCCCTAAATCCCAGAAGAGTTGGGCTATTTTCAGCGGTGTGTATTTACTGTCATAATCTTGTGATTTCTCTTATAAAAGAATGCCCAGAATTTTGGCAATAGGAAATGCATAGGCCCAACTGATACCCAACTCAGATGGATTAACCGAACAATCTCAAACGCTACAATTGTGAGGGTCCTTTGTGAGTTAAAGTAGCAAGAGGGATTGTTGTTACGTATAGGTATGGGCCTCCCGACGAAGCCCAACAGGCATACTCTGTACGTCATTTATATCCCACAAAGATCCGATTAATTCTATATAATAATGATGATGATGATGATGATGATAATAATAATAATAATAATAATAATAATAATATAATTACATTGGAACCCCATGGTCCGAGTGATTCAAATTAGACTTTGATAAATAGAATGCATTGTTCATGGTATGTTTCAATGTTTGAAGCACCTTTCAAATCATTTTACAAAGAGATTTAGAAAATAAATTGTGATATTCGTCTCGAATTCCAATAAATTGCACATTTTAGGGGTAAAACATTATATTTTGATAGTAAGAGCAAATTTGACAGAAACTTATGTGCAAATATTCCATTCTATCCATGGATGGACCTATGTGAAATATGGAGATGCGGAACAACAAAGAGACAATTTGTACACATAATTATAGTGTTGCATTAGCGTTGCTTGCATCTTAATGCATCATGATCATCGTCATGTGATACTTAAAACACATTTTATTTGCAGGTGGGAACTATAAATCTAGTTAAGAAAACATTGTGCAAAGATCCAACTAGTGGAAGACTGACTGCCTCGTGAGTCACCACCAAATAAAAAATAAGAAAATAATAATAATAATAATAATAATAATAATAATAATAATAATAATAATAATAATAATAATAATAATAATAATAATAAGAGTGATAATGCATTTAGAACTCAGGCCTCATGGAACAACTACGTACATACGGTATTATATAACCTCTCAGCAAACAACAACCAACAACACATATGTTATTCTCAAATGAAATAAAATATAATTAAAAAACGCAGCCCACATTTATGCACCCTCAAGCAGTTTCGAGAATTTGATAGTTAAATGTGGTCACATGAGTACGTTAAATTCCACAATACATTCTGAATCCCATAAAATTATACAACAGATACGTAGAGGACCTGAACATGCAACAAACTGTGAGATCCTATAGAGCATTATTGAAGGCAGGAATCCATGTTAAATTCCATGTTAAATTTGCAACCAAAATATAAAACCCAAGCATCTAACAACCTAATTTCCTTTTCGAATACAATCCAAAATTAGCTTGCAAACTCCTGAAACTCAACATTTTTATATGAAGTAAAACCCTTATCCAAATCTTCAAAAGATTTTTGCAAATTTTTCCTTTAATCAATTATATTGACCCATCTCATTCTACAAATGAGTCCACCAATCAAATAATCAGAAGATCCCGATGTCTCAAGATTATAATTATTGGAAGATAGAATCACGAGACATTTAAGAGTACAAACAAAACGAGGCAACTTAGACAATACTTAATGATGGGGTACTAATTAAAGTATTTAAATGTACTTTGTTCTATTTAAAATTTTAGAGAAGGGAGGCCATGTTTGTCTTGACATTGAACTTTTTGTGCAATTATATGTTATTAAATCCATTCCTATTGATTCCACGCTTGATTTTGCTATAGAGAAGAAGCCTCAAATAAAAGTTGGTGCTTGCGCGAGTTCCGCTTCTATGCTGGCTGCTGATTAATACGGTTATGGACTACTATACTTTTATTTGTTTGGATTAGATCACTGTCAAATATTTTTGACTCATTTCGGTGTGATGTCCTAGTCTTTGTCTTAATCTCTTTGTTGTTTGGCAGTGTTAAGATTCTGGCTTGAATGTCCTATATTGTCCTTCCCAACTAGGGCAAATAGGTTTATTAATGGCGCCTCTAATGAATGAAGATAAATCACAATCTTTTTTATAAAAATAAAAAAATGTCGTTTTCTATTAAGTACACCAAAGTTTACATTACGTTTGACTTTGATACCTCAAAGTTTTTATTATGCCCATAAGATTACCTCAAACGTCCAAAAAATAAAATAAAATAAAATAAAAAACTAATAATATTTTGATACCTAAACTAGCATAATCGGTTACCAAAGTTAAATTTTTTAAAATTTTGGAGATGGTTTTGAGAAATAAAACCTCATGATATCAAAGTTAAAGATGATTTAAACTTCGCGGATACGTAAGTGCAAATAATTGAAATAAAATTATCTTTGGCCTGCACTAGAATCATGAGTACTCAATGATCATGAATATCACTGCTTTTTAATGTATTTAGGTCTATTGTATCACAGAAATGACTAAATGTTATTCATGCTCCAAGAGTTGACACACGTTCTACGTTAACTATGCATCGTATGGACTCAACCTTATGCAGGACGAGTCAAGTAACGTCATTACTCGGTCCTTCCCAAGAAGGCCAAATCAAAAGGTGTCCTCACTCGGATCCCGTAATTAAGGTCGGCTCTGTGCCTCTTCATTTTGTAAAACCAAGTCGAGAAGCTCTCAATCCAAGATGGCCGAATCAAAATGTATCATTTTATGGCCTACTCGCAAAGCCGAGATGAGAGGCGGTCACTCTCAAGCCCCATGCCAACAGCCGATCATCATCACATTAAATGCATGATTGAAGTCATCATTACTCTAACCCCGAAAGTCATACTGACTCGTCAAACCTCGTCAGCACCTTGCTTCCCCCCTATCACTCCAGCATTAATCACGAAGGTGACTCACACCACCCGCGGTCGACAATTGTAAAGTATCAGCTGAATAAGCTGACTGCTTGGACTTGACCGAAGTTACAAAATTTCCCTCCTGAATATGTTATAAATAGCTGCCTTGTCCACTGCATGAAGGTACGTGATTTCTAGCAATAGAACACACTGTAATTATACTTTCCCTCCTCCACTTGAGATCAATACTAAATTGACCGTCGGAGGAACCCCTAGAGAACTCAACTCCGACCCTCTTACGTATTGTTTGTGTGTAGGACCGAATGCTCTGCTGAAGAATCAACCATCAGAAGAAGATTGAGTAACCCTAAAGCTCTACGTAATCTACATTAAAATTTCGTATTTGATATCTGACATTAATAGTTTGGCGCTCACCGTGGGGCTTTTTTTCTTCTTCATACAAGATGGCTAATTGTGATTGTCCAAGCCAATCATTAGTTCCTTCCACTGAAGAAGCACATACCGTGGGCTATGTCACTCAAACCGAATTGGAAGACTCCACCTCACGAATTTTTTAATCTCTTTACAACAGTTCGCCTCCTTCACAAATGAATTTCTCAGCTGGATGCCTCTCCAACAACCTTCTCCGTTGTTCGTCTCTCCTCCTCCTGCAGATCAGGCTAAGCAAGAAGCACTGCCTCTCCAACAACCTTCTCCGTTGTTCGTCTCTCCTCCTCCTGCAGATCAGGCTAAGCAAGAAGCACAGGAGGATTATACTGAACACACATCTCCTCCGCCTCACCACGGACTCGATTCGATGTTCATCCCCGACAACCATCGCAACACGTAGAGGCAAGTCGTTAGAGCCCTAGCTTTAGCCTTGAGCGCACCGCATAGACAAAATTGCGTAATGCCAGACACCCTTATGAGGCTCCAAGTCCCTCCACCACTAACCTCGTGTCTGGTTATGATCGGACGTTTAACACGACACCATTAAAGGGGACACTTTGCTCGCCGATTGGATCATGAATACCCCATGTGTGAAGTTCAAAATGTTACATATTGAGAAATATAAAGGCGAGGGGAATCCAAGGAGCATGCGCATAACTTTTATAAGAATTGAGAGACAATTTCGAAACCTTAAAGATTTAAGGGCTAATATTGAAAGGGGAAAAAAACTTTACTGTAAAACGTATTTCGATGTGATCATCGGCCACTTGCGAAGAAATATATAAAACTAAAAAATTATTTAATGCTGCCACCTTTTTCTTGAAAGGTCATTACTATTGGTAAAAACGGAGATGTAACAAGATTGCTTTAATGCATTGCGATTATTTAATGCTGCCACCTTTTTCTTTTTCTTTTTCTTTTTTAAGATCACTGTTGTCAAGTGCGAGTCATCCGATTCCACTCGTAATGCTGCCACCTTTTTCTTTTTCTTTTTCTTTTTCTTTTTAGATTCCTTCCTCGATCTCTCGTCATGCTTTTTCACAAATGCTAGCCTTTCGCGGTTGTGATCCTTTGAATGGTACGTATACCTTTATTCGTAAAGTTTTTTTTCTAAAGGATAATTCACAGAAATCAATCCAAACAGCTTTAGACCTCTCGGATATTGCTAGGAGTATTAACCATCGTGAGTGCAGAAGCAGCCGCGTTAATGTGAACGTAAGCTCTCCCATTAATTTATGAGCATCTTCCAAAGGAAATTTCTCAAAACATGCATGATATATATCGTACGACGCAGAGCACAAATCATCATCTCACCAAGCCTTTTACCATGTAACTAACTATACAACGCAATAAACCTTCACACATAAACGGACTCTGAACCTCCATCCGAACCACGCATCGGCTTCTCCGTCTAGAAACAACCTCTACACATGACCAAATTAACTAATTGAAGTAGAAAGAAAAATCTATATGTAGATAGTAGCTCTTATACGCTAATTAAATAGGTGATACGTTTTCCTTCTGAGGAGGCGATCGACCGAATATGGATTAGGAAAGGTGAGGCCCGCCGGCACGGAGGGCGCGGAAGTAACCCAGAGGGTTAGCCTCAAAGGATGCCCTCAGCATGGTGACACCCATCCTGCCTGGTGCCTTCATCATCTTGCCCGTGCCGCGTAGGAAGCGCGAAGCAGCCGGAGCAGCAAGCAGGAGAAGGCCGCGGAAGCAGCCGCCGAGGAAGCTGGGGAAGCAGAAGCAGCGGGAATAGGCACACAGAGAGAGCAAGAGGAGGAGGAGGGCGATGGGCAGGAACCGAGTGAGCCCAACACGGAGCCAATGGTGCAGGGTCTCAGAATCGGGCTGGATCAAGCTCCATTTCTCAACTAAGAGACCCCAGATGCTGTCGAATTTTTCAACAAAGGAACCCCAGCTGACGCCGTCGAACGTTTGGACAAAGAAGCCCCAGACGGGATCGAAGGCGTGGAGGAGATATTCGAGTAATTTTTGAAAGAAGTTGCCTACGCTCTCAACGAAGGAACCCCAGCTGATGCCGTCGAATGTTTGGACAAAGAAACCCCAGACAGGATCGAAGGCGTGGAGGAGATATTCAAGTATTTTTTGAAAGAAGTTGGCTATGCTCTCAACAAAGTTCATGCCGTCGAATATTTGGACAAAGAAACCCCAGACAGGATCGAAGGTGTGGAGGAGATATTCGAGTATTTTTTGAAAGAAGTTGGCTATGCTCTCTTTTGTTGGTTGTAGATCTCCTCCTCCTCCTCCTGAGTTTGCAAACTCATTTACTTTGTCTACTAACAACTTTCTGGTTCCCTCCATCCCTTAAGAATTTCAGCCACAAAATTGGGTTTTGGGAACTCGGGTAGGCACAGTAGAATGAGAGACCGGACGTTGAGAGAGAGAGAGAGAGCAAGAATGGATATAGTGAGAGAAGAGGGGGATTGGTTGGTATATACCGTATATATAAGCGGGCGGTCAGGCAGGCCCCACTATAAATAGCCAAGAGAGTTGGGAACTCCGATTATTTGGTTCCTTAGCCAATTTCACATCTTCAAGCAAGGGGGAGGTTTCTGAAATGGATCGATTTCTGGTCAAGATGTTGATGTGGTCAAAAAGTGAGTTGATTTTTGTAATCATCTTTGAAATGGATCGATTTCTGAGATAAAAGTTCAGATTGGGTCTATTTTGAAAATTTATTCTCCATTTTTCTCTCTGTAGCAAGGCAATAGACCGAGCAGAGTAGCTCTTTGTAGGCACGAAATAAAGGTGAGGATCAGGTGATCACAGTCATCACAAGAGTAAGGGGTTGTTTGGTTGTATGTTTTTACCATGTAAAAGGATCGAAAGTGTAAAAAGTGGGTCCCAATGTCAGCTTTCATCACTTTCAATTGTTTGTTTGTAGTTGTAAAAATAGTATAAAGTGATTTCATATGCTGATGTGGCTTGTAAAGTGATTTCATTAAAAAAAACATGATTTTAGAAGAAAGCTGACATTGGAGTCAGGAAAAAATAATAAAAAATAATTCTAACCAATATGATCATTTGAGAAGGGACCACTTTTTACACTTTCCAAATAAACAATTAAAGTTACATTTGCAAACCAAACAAGTAATTTATGATTCCAATGGAATCAAAAACAAACAAAGAAAAATATAAAAGTGAAATTGATGAGTTGGACAACAACTTTCCTAGTTGTGTCATAAATACAAAATTTTACCAACAACAACCAAACAGCCCCTAAATGGTAGCGTGGCAGGTGATCACATGCTGTAAACATGGTAGCGTGTCACGTGATCACATGCTGTAAACATGGTAGCCTAGGGAGGCTTTTTGGGAGGGGAAAGGCTTCTAACTTCATCTGAGTAGCCTTATAATTTTCCGAAGGACTTTTCAACGGCGTTTACAGAATTGTGTAAAAGTTTGTTGGTTAATTTAAAGCGGGGCCTCGGGATTTTAGAAAAATGCACGCATTGATTTCATAGATAAAAGCCCAATTAGCACTTAAATACCTCATAGTTTCACTCACTTAGTACTTATGTACACTCATTTGTTTCCATAGTATTTATATACCCTAAGTTATTTAAGACTATCATTTTAATAAGCAAACGTTAAAATTTTACTTGAATGTTTCTAAATGATATTTACAAGCTAATTATAGAGCTTTCTAACCATTAACGTTTATAAAATTTATCGTTAAACCAATCTCAACTCTAAATTAGAGTAGAATTAAGATAAGTCAAAAATAGAAGTTTGGTCGGTTTAATAATAAATTTCACAAATTTAAATTCTTAAAAGCTCTATAATTAACATGTAAGTGTCATAGAGAAACATTTAGATGATAACTTTCACATTTGCATTATTAAGAGTATTAACATGTCAATTTTAGATTATTTAGAATATATTAATGCTATGAAAATTAAGTGAGGGTATATAGGCTAAATGACACCCTTTTGTTAAATGACACCCTTTTGTTTCGTCATCTTTACACTTACATACTTTATGCTTTAAGAAGTAATATTTTAATATCCTAAGTTGTAAAAAAGTATCACTTTAGTACCTTAAGTTGTAAAAGATCTGGCAAGTCAGTACCTTCTGTTAGTTGAATGTAGAAGTATTTCTAGGAATATTCTCATATTATTAGCACATGATATTTTTATAATTGTATTGACCCCACTTATTGTGTCATATTTTCATTACACCTACCCTCCATTACTTTATGCTTTAAGAAGTAATATTTTAATATCCTAAGTTGTAAAAAAGTATCACTTTAGTACCTTAAGTTGTAAAAGATCTGGCAAGTCAGTACCTTCTGTTAGTTGAATGTAGAAGTATTTCTAGGAATATTCTCATATTATTAGCACATGATATTTTTATAATTGTATTGACCCCACTTATTGTGTCATATTTTCATTACACCTACCCTCCATCTTCTTATCCCTTAAACCTTTAATAATTGCATGTTAGTCCTTCAGATCTTAGAAATTGCAATTTAGCTCCTTAAACCTTTAATAAGTGTATATTACTCCACCAAATCTTAAAAATTGTATATTAGTCCCTTAAAATGTATAGGGTCTTGCAAAATGGTCCCACAATTAATATTTTAGTTAAAAACCTGATTATTGTTGTTAATTTTTATCCTAAAATCTACAAACACCAAACTACACTCTGAAGTTTCAACACTTTGTGAAGCTCAACGTTGGTTAGGATTTTTTGCTAATCATTGGAGAAGAAGAACTCAAGTGAATTTCGATTTATTTGAAGCACATATTGGGTTTAAACATAGTAAGAAATGCGTTGGGGAACATCATAGACGAATAAAATAGTCACTTAGCCTACAAACATTAAATTTGATGGAATA